CCTACCCCTGGGGGTCATGATTTAAACAAGCTTGAATCTACACCACCTGAGGATGCTCCCACATAAATATTACCAATCATAGCTTTGCTGTTCGTGAGAAGAAGATTTTTGAAGATTTTTCCTATATACACCTATGTAAAACTTTGATCGTCCATTGTGGCCCCACCCTAGCCCCGGGGTCATGATTTGAACAAATTTGAACCCACACCACCTGAGGATGCGTCCATATTAATATGACCAATCATAGCTTTGCTGTTCTTGAGAACAAGATTTTTCCTATATATTCCCGTGTAAAACTTTGAACATCCGTTGTTGCCCCACCCTAACCCCAGGGGTCATGATTTGAACAAACTTGAATCTACACTACCTGACAATAATTCCACATGAGTTTCATCTTTCCTGGCCCATTGGTTTTTGAGGAGAAGATTTTTCAATAATGCCATTAATTTTTTGCTATTTCGTAATTATCTCCCCTTGGAGGAGGGTGTGGCCCTTCATTTGAACAAACTTGAATTCCCTTCACCCAAGGATACTTTGTGCCAAGTTTGGTTGCAATTAGCCCAGTAGTTCTGGAGAAGATGAAAATGTGAAAAGTTTACGACGACAACACCAACGACAGACAACAGACAAATTTCGATCAGAAATGCTCACTCGAGCCTTCGGCTCAGGTGAGCTAAAAAAGGCCTTAATTTATGGCCAAGATGTTACATAAACATTCCAAAGCAGGTTTAAATGTTATTTTTATCTTTATCCATAGCTGTTATTAAGAAATTATCCATGAACAAACTATTTTTCATAACACAGTAAAGTCAAGCTTTAAAAAAATAATTTATTTGCACCAATTCTAGGAAATAAACATGTATACTATAAATTTCTTTTCATATACATACTTATACATTTAATACTTTAATATACCCACTAAAACACAAATACAAATTAAAACATAGATAAAATAAATGTTACTTTGGCAGGTCACCAGTGGATTTCAAGATTGTATATTTGATTTGAATTATACACTTTTTAACTTCCAACTGTACACAGACACACACAGGAATTTTAAAAATACAAATTAAATAAAAAAAACAACAAACAATATACTTTTGATCTAACCATGCCAGTTCTCTAGTGTTTGACCCTTTATCCAATCATACAAAACTTAAAATTAATTTACATTTAAATAACAGTCACACAGATTAAAACAAATAACAAAATAATGAATCTAAAGTACTTTTTGTTTCTGCAAACATTTGTTCTTTTTTCCATTCATGCAGAAAAAAAAATTGGTATATGTAAAAATAGATAATTTAAATTTTACTAATATAATAAAACATCTCCTAACTCCTAGGCTCAATCTGAGCTAATAAAGCTGTTAATATTTTGAATATTGCACATTTATTCCAGGCTGCATGTGGCACATTTCTGAGGTAAAATACAGGTACTCCAACTGTGGCCTCCAAACACAAACTTTTGACTGCTGACGCTTATCTCTTCATATTCACTGAAAATCAGTTCAGCACTTTATACATACATGTATAACAGAACTTAGAAAGAAAATATCGATAAAAATAAGAAAATTTTGCATTTTACCAATACAGAAAATAAATATATCTCCTCCTTTTGGAGGGAAGGAAGACACACAAAATGTGTTACACTATTAAATCTCACCTTTCAGTCTTGCTGACTAAAAGATCCACAGAGGGGTCTTCTTCAATGGCAGGTAATTCAGAGTCTCCATAAAGACTAGGACGGGACACAAGATTGGGTCGAAGGAAAGGTTTAGGCATTGGGAGACAGGATGGGTGACTCTTGGGACTATTTCTATAGTTATCAAGCACCTGTGACACTGCATGATGGCATTCATAAAATTCAGCATCAGAAATCTAAATGGAGATACCCTCAAATAAATATATGCTGCTACATACATTTCTTACTTTGTATAAATGTAGTAAAAATTTTCAATATTGTTTTTGTGATATATGAATCAATTAAATGCATATGTGATTTTTTTCCCTTGTAAAGAGTGACAAATCAAGAGAAAAAAAACTTACAAGATTTACAGAAATTTTGAAATTATTTCTATTAATTATATGTCCCTTTATTTATTCTTTTCAAATCTCAAACATTCTTACCTGGCATATGTTATGAAGATTAAATAAACTCTGATTCATTGCATTATTCAGTAATCCTTTCTCCTGCAGACCATGTTGAAGTAAACTGAGGGCCAAACAGGCAGTCTACAACACAAAAATACTAAAAATGTAATCAGAAAAAATGCAATTGTTCAATGATTACAAAATTTATACAGTACTCTTAAACTTTAAATGTCAATATTGATCCAAGGAAGAAAACTTACAGAGTATATTGCACATGAGCTGTAGTTGATGCAAATCTCAAACTTCTGGACAAGTCGAGAAAGAAATTGGTGGTCTAGCACCTTAGTTGTTGTACAAATAATATCACATAAAGTCTTAAGTAGAGAGGGGCAAGTCTCAACCCACAGTTTCCAATCAAGCTTCTGCATGACAACCGTCTCCATTCTCTTCAAATCGGAGGATTTCCAGGCATGCTGCATCAAGCTAGATAACTCTGTTGCTGATGGAACATCCTGATAAATGAAAAACAGAGATTTTAAAAAAAAATTATTATTAACATTAATAAGTTAATAAAAGGAGACAGTTTGGTGTTTTAAAATTCACAACCTTTAAAAGAAATCAACAATTAAATACTTATTAATTTGTTATCCTGATAATTTTGTGGAGAATGTACAAAACTTTACCTCATTTTCCTCATGAAATTTGCTGGATAGATAAAAACAGGCTGTTGCAAGGCAAGAATAGTACTTTGATTGGACCTGCAATTTTTTTTAAAATTTAATCAATATATATATCAATTAATGTCAAGTACAGTTAAAGATTAAAAAAAAATATATAAACAATAAGCAAATACTACATTTTATTATTGCATTTTTCTACTGATTTTTTAAGGCATAATTTTTATTTAAATTACCTTGACTTTTGCTAGAAATCTGTCCATACAGCTAACTGCAGTGGCGTAAGTTGAAGGATTACAGTTATAAAAATGTGTTAGGCAGCGAATAGTAGAGATGGCTTTATCCCTCTGAGCACTTATAGAATTGTCCTGTAGATTTATCAAAAACTTAATCATGTAGCACACTTTTTTTGAAAAGCAAATAGATATTATAAGTCTTGATACATGTAACAATGATTTAATAAAGATCTTTCATTTACCTTTTCTGGAGGGCGCAGGAAAAGGGAGTGTACTATAAAGGCTTTCCATAAACCTTTCAGTAAACCCCCTCTTTTTCTCGCCCCTCCAATGAAAGTTAAATGAAGGACATTACAATAATTAACTTTAAATACAGTTTTGCGAGTTGTGTTCTAAAACTTTGAAAAGTATTCGAATCAAATCCAACATAGAGCATACAATTGAACTCTTCAGAGAGCAAACATTACAAATGAACTGGTAATTTCAAATCATAAAGATGGAAAGCAGCCAAAGATGATTTCAAAACTTTTCCTTAAAATATTAAAGGCGTATAAAGATTTAAAGTTGATTTACAAATAACAACAGGCACAAGTTACACTCATGAGGCCAAAAGAAAAAACATGTTTTTTTCCTATCTCAATATGCTCAATCAATTAGTCCATTTTACATCTTCACTAGCCAAGGGTGATGATCCGCTCCTCTCTCGAGAAGTGGATCGTCACCCTTGGCTAGCGAAGATGCCCATTTTATTGACTCTCTAGATCTATATTTTTTTTATTTTTGGCCAAATCAAATCAAAAAATCAAAAAAAAAAATAAATAAATAAATAAGGATTTATTATGCTTTAAGTTCAATATAAAAACCTTTCTTACTGATCTTCATTTTGTTTTTAAAGCAACATTAATTGTCTCCTGCAACAGACATTCTGTATGTTTCTGCTTGGCCTGACTGTATATATATATCAACTTTATTTAGCTCAAACAAAAGCATTTCATTAATTTTACCACAGACCTGCTATGATTTGACATTTTAGTTATAACTTACCACTTTTGGTGCTATCAACTGCTTCAAGATTTCTCTTAATTTTTCAACCAAATGTTCATTCGATAGGTCGAACTGTGTCTGTAAATAAATTTATACAAAGAATTAAATCAAGGCCTTAAAATAAAAATACATTGTTGTGAAAAACTAAGTATGCATTTTCTTTTTCACTAAATTCTTATTAAAAAATTAAAACCAATTTATGTACAATCACCTTTTCTTTTGAATCTTTGCACGGGACATGGTTCAAAGCTTCCAGCTGACTTTTCCGACTCTTTCCCATTTTCTCGCAAAACAGCAAATTAATAGCCTGGCGACTATTATTTTCTGTTTCTTGAACCATTTTTAATCTCAAAGGTGTAAAGCCTTGTTTCTGCCTACGTCTTCAAGATGATATTCGTACATCTGCTCCTGTTGTCATTACGCCACTTGCAGACGGCAGCTGTCAACAAAAGTCGTTTGAAATTTGGCGCACATCTTAAACCCTCTCTCCTTAAATCTTACATTTGTAACACTCATTTTGATTGGATAAATCTACCTATTCAAATGTGAACTATAAATAGTTTTGTTTTGTAAACATCAGCATAAATTTTTCAAACGATAAATCTCCAGTTTCACCCATATCTACATCTAATTGCATAGTATTTTGTTCTTCAAAGCGTTAGATTAATTGAATGTGCTTCATAGTAAAGATTACAACAGGTTTACCTCATATTTTCCTTTTTTGACAGCTCTGACCTCGACGGTGAAAACAACTTTTGTTCGCTTCCAAGGGTGTAGTTCTCCCTCCGCGCTAATGATTCCATAGAAGTTTTCTAAAAATGAGGTGGAAAAGCAATATTCATCCTAACTACAATTTTTTAAAATCTTTAGTTAATTAATATGTATATATTGCATACTTAGTATAATGTTAACTTATGAAAATACCAGATTTTTTAAGCGGATGAATATATTCGGAACTATATTTGACCCTTACCAACAAGGAATTTCCTTGGAACGCAACTTTAATACATAGCCCTTATTATTTTCGTTTATTCGATAGAAGATGGAGTTTTAAAATCATCAATGTAAGCAGGATAGTGTGAATGGAACAGGGGAACATCCTAGTTCAACTCTCGTTCCATTTTTCTCGTCAGGTGAGTGTAAATTTTACTGACAATTTTGCTGATGTTGGTTTGCATCAGCTGAATCATGGAAGCCATTTTGACAGTGACTATTTTAAGACTGGGAAATATTTTACCAAATCAATTGGGTTTTCTGGGATGAATTTATTAAGGATGGTTTCAATTTTATTAAAACTTTATGCGAAATGGGATTTAAAGAGAAATATTATGTAAAAACGTTATGAAATAAATATTTCTAGAAGATACTATAGTAACAACAATCCCTCATAGTCATATAGAATGCAGGCTGCTGAGCCTCCTACAGCATCTTTAAAAGAGTCTTTACTTGTTAAATTAAGAGGCTTTTAATTATGGGTTAAATATCGTTGCAGTGTTTTGGTGCAGCAGTTTGGGGTTGTCAAGATGGAGTCGCACAAAAGATTAGATGCTAGGCATCTGATGAAGATGCTTGGGGAGCACCTTGCAAGATGCAGTCAGTGGTCATCAAATGCGTACAAGCCTACAGGAACATGTGATGTAAGTTACATGGGAATGAAATTCTGTCATTGTGATCAACGAAGTTTTCATTTAATATTTACGAATGCAGTGATATAGTAAGTTTCATAGACTTCCCCAAAAAATGTTGTTACTTTACCCAAATAGGGATGGTGTTTCAACATAAGCCTAAATATTTTTCTCATATTTTTCACAAAAAAATATGTATTGGAATTTCAAACAATTTCCTGCTTTTAGAAACTGTCTAAGTGTTAAATAAGATAATAAAAAAAAAAAACTAAACATAATAATTGTTTCATTAAAGGACTTTTTAAGGAGTAATATTTCTGGGAAATCTTCTGAAATTGAAGTTAAAGTATTTTTAAATAAAACGTTGATTCGCCAGATTGGTTGATCAGCTGTTTATTGAGTTAACAGTTTTCATGATAACCAGGAAATGATTAATAATCATTGTTGGATGAAACTGTGATGTCATTACAAATGAGAGGATGTTGCATAAAGCTATGAAATTTCTAAACAATTGCATCATCTATATGCTGTCATTGAGTCAATGACATAATCCAGGTTAATGTAATCAAAATCCTATTTGGCATTTAATGTTCCATGTTTGACATATATTGACATGCTCCATGTCTTCAGTCTCCAAAGCCTGAAATGCATTCATTTCTATCTAATTTTTTTTTTAAAAAGTTACTTATTGTAAAGAATAATTTACTGTTCCTTGATTTGAATTTTAAAAGTCCATATTTTACTAATTTATCCTACACATGCAAGTTTAAATTCCACATATTGATATTTAAATTATTTTATTTTTGTTTTTAAATATGGGGAGTCTGATATATTCAAAAGAAAGGACATGAAAACTTGTGCAAATCAACTAAGAATAAGGAATTGTATAGATTTGTAAATATAACCTGGTTTCACCAGTAGGACAGGAGCTATTTTTAGATCCTTTTAAACTCCAACTTTACAAGGTCAATGATCACGGGACCTACCAAGAGCTGACAGTGATTGCTGGCAGGTGCCCAAATCGGTTATTTCTGTTTGTTTAACAACCTTTGTCATTAGTATCAGGGAATTCAAAGCAAACTTTAAAAGTCTATCCATATCAATAGGTTTAATATATTCATTGTTTTCTACTACTGGTTTAACTAGTTTATGTAAAAACATGCATAAATGTCACTGGTGCCATGGTGATGACAATGTGATGTGTTTTATGGTGTTATGTGGCAGCATTAAAAAAAAATTACATTAAATATGTCATGTGTGGAATATAAATAAATATCTCCAGCAATGAATTAAAATAGAAACTGTTTAAATTCATTACATGTACTTGTCATATCAAAACATGATTTTTTCAGGCATAATACATGTACCTTTGATTTAATGCAAGTTCACCTTTTTTTTTGACTGGTTCAGTTATTTCCGTAATTATATTATGATTTTTTTTAGATAGTAAATTTATTCATCTAATTGTAAATGTAAAGTGTTTGGAAGTCACAGCTGTATTAACACATTATTAAATAGTGAAGGCTCACATGTTCTAAGTAAATTTCTGTATTCCATATTTTTTTTTTTTAAAGGAGGTCTTGGGTCAACAGAGAGATAAGGTTGTTGGTTGGATTTTGTCATTGAATGCAGAGTTCAGATTTACACCAGAAACTCTCGGACTGGCCATATGTCTCCTTGACCGCTTTCTGAATCTCGTTAAGGTAAGTCTGTTGATTATTTCCTCAATCTTTCATTCTTGGGAATCTACACATTTTTGTCATATATTTTATTAGTATTAGCAATTCAGATTAAAATTTGAGTGTTTGCTATGTGGATTTATATTGATATTTATATATACATATCTTTCTGTTTAATGATTTATGATCTCCCGGGACCATTCTAGACCCAACATTTAGGGAGACATTCTTCCTTGGAAAAATTTAGGTAGAAGTTTCAAAATTTGGGAGAATTTTTTGTGTGCACATGGCACACATTGATCGTTAAATATGTTTAAACATTGTTAAACTTGAAATTTTAAATACATGTCACTTTATATCCTCTTGATACATTGATTTCTCTGTGTCACTTCAACATCCAAAGAATATTCAAAGAGTCAAAAAGGTGGAAGATCTTTCATAAATATTGACATGTTCAAATTACAAAGTATCTATCAAATAAAATATCTAGCAAGAAGACAAAATTGTATATTGTCAGTGAACAATGTACAAGTTTTACCCTTACTTGCCTCAGTCACCCCCCTAGGTTGGTCGTTGATCTCACATTGTGCATGCATGGTAATTTTGAATAAAATTCTTTCATGTTTATGTTCTTATTTTGATAAGATAATTGAATCAACAATATTTTTTTTTTTTTTTTGGACAGGTCCGCCCCAAGTATCTACCCTGTGTAGCCATCTGCTGCTTATACATCGCAGCAAAAACCTTGGAAGAAGATGAGGTATGTTCAGATTTGTACACTTCACAAAAATAATTGTATGGGTGTAAGGAATTTTGTTTGTGTCACTAACAATTTTAAGGTCAAGATCTAGTAAATGAGTTCAGTCTGTCTTTTGGTGCTAGATCCATTATGACCTTATAATTGATTTAATCTTATTTTTTCCCATATTTTACGGCTATAACAGAATTAAGTAGAAAATGACACATTTTCATGGAATTCAATTTGAAATCATTTCAAAAGGAACCCCGATACCTATATTCAATTTAATATCATTTTAAAGAAGTGGTCAAGAAGGTATGAAAAACTGTTTACTGAGAGACTGTAGGCAATACTGATACATTTTGTTTGTCTGAGATGGAGAAAACTCCCATTTTTATACCTGATTTTCTTCATTTTTCATTAAAAAGGGCAGTTTAAATATGTTTTTTGTTGAGTTTATCTAAAAATTATGCCCCGATACACCTCAATTTATTTAGCTATAATTGTAAAAGATTATTAAAGGAATTTGTTTTTCAAATTTGAAAAATCTGTAGGCACTCTTCATTTACTAGATCTTGACCTTAAGGAAGATTGGCATTCATGAAATGAATGTGTTGGATTTTTTTTTTAGGTAATACCAAGCACCAAGGATCTTGTGAAGACCATTAGATGTGTCTGCTCTGTGGCGGAAATTCTCAGGATGGAGGCCATTATCCTGGATAAACTTTCCTGGAATGTTAAACAGGTCACTGCAGTGGATCTTCTTCACATTGTAAGTCTATGACATTGGTGCATTGATTAAATATTATGAATAATGTATCTTGGTTATGCAAATTAAATAAAAGTAAAACAGGAAGGGAGAAGGTTTCAAACATTATTCAGAAATATGACTAAATTTTTTAGTATTTTCATATGGTCATAGCACTATGTAGGTTTATTGGTGGTTAAAAGTAGGCTTATTTTTGACTCATTTCCAGATCCATGGCTTGCTTATGTGTTATTACCCCAAACTGCTAGATGGACTGAGCAACCTGACTCCCTCACAGCACCTGAGTATGATGATGCGGAAGATCTTCCATTGTCTGGGAAACCACCAATTGGCGGTCTTCAGCCCCATCAGCCTCGTGTTGTCCATTGTAAGCTTGGAGCTGGAACAAATTACCCCAAACTGGTTCTCCATCGTCAACACAGTCCAGCAAGTGGCAGAGGTAGGGAGATTAGTATCAATTCATTGTGCAGATAACTGTGCACTTGCAATTCCCAAAATCTGATAAATTATTAGTATGTTCTCAGATCTAATGCAGTAGTTGATATCTAAAATTTAACTTCAGTAAGATTTAGATAAATTTTATGTTCATGATGTTCATTGTTTATTTGTTTCCCATCATTTATTTAAGTGTTCGATTTTTGTTGGTTTTGCAGGTCAACAATCAAACCTTCTTTCACTGTCGTGAAGTGACTGGTTTGTACCTGTCCAAGCATGGACTTCTACCCTCTGGATATCAGTTTAGAGTGATCAAGCGTTCCAAGTCGATCAAGAGAAAGGCCGTGGATGACGAAGAGGAAGATCTTTATGACGGCATCAAACGTCTGTACAGTGAAGATGCCATGGATACCACCGCTTCTGTGAGGAAGTCATGTAGCTCGGAGATGGTTCAGCACCAAGACACTGACGGAAGAAATAGTTTCCTTGTAGCTGCTGTCAGTGCCAATTAGAACGTTTAAGTTCTATTGGTTGACAAAGCTTATCTTTCTCTTACAAGTAATATGATTGAATTAAAAAAATATCTCAGCAAGTCCCAAAATTACAGGGGATGGGGGGGGGGGGCTTTATTAAGAAATAGTTCAATTAGGTAGACTCATTTTGACAATCGGGGCAGTTTCTTATTGTTCAGAACTATTACAATAGTTAGATACTTTCCTAAAAATCAGTGACAAAATTTGGGCCAAAAAATTTTGATTTTTTTTAATCTGGTTATGGTTATTTTTAAGACCCAGACAATGCAAGACAAAAACCTTTTTTCCCAAAAATTTACAGATAGGCTTTTGTTCAGCCAAACCTTCCAAGTTGCTCAGATAAAGAAACTTCAGTGATGGTACAGAATTATTTCCTCTAGCCTGTATGGATTTTCATTTTTTGTTTTTTTTTTTTGGTCTACAAAAGTTGTTATAATTTTGTTATGTTTTTAGAGTTTTTATTATTTATTGTATTCAATGGCCACTATACTTCTGTCTTTTCAATTCTTCCCATTGCTTTATGATATGAACATTATTTTTCAAAATTCAAATGATGTATATGTTCATGTGTACATTGTATAATCACATATAGAATACATAGCAAATAATTTAATTTTGATGCTTGACTAAATGAAAAGGCAAGATAGGCATGGTAGGGTGCTATTACATCTCCGGTGAGTAATTTTACATAATGTGGCCTATGTATGTTATTGTCAGACTTTACTATGTAAAGGTGACTTTTATTATTTCTTTTTAAGTAATTAAATAATATCCATACTGGCTGGAGGAAAAGGAAAGAATATGACTCGACTCCTATGAGAAAAAAAAAATATAAACTATGCCACCAATCGCCATACTTAGCTTTGTTTTATCGTGTCAGAATTATTTTTCAGTTCAAAAGAACCAAAAAAAGTTCATAAAGTAAACTGTTCAAAAAAAACAAAAAACAAAAAAAATTGTCAATTACCCACATTTAACAAGCATTATGTAGACTGTATATGGATGTTGATTATTTTTATTTTAATGTAGACAAAGATCTTGATTGTATATAATAATTTTGTAATGTGTTTGTATGGAATTTAATGAATTTCCACCCAAGCAAGGGATAGGGAAAGTCTCAGGCAGCATAATTCCACTGACTATAGGGATAGTTTTGTTAAAATATAATTGGACCATGTGTTAAGATCGCAAGATGATATTAAAGGTCATTTTTAATTTTTTTCCCCTTTTTTCATTTGTTGATAAACCTCATGGGTAAAATTGTTAATTTATTATTGAAGTCAAGGATTTCATTTCCCTCCTAGTATGTGTATACAAAAGAACAAATATTTGCAAAATGTACTGGTCAGCTATTGTGAATATAAAGTTTGTATATTGTAAATAAGTTGTTTTTGAAATACCCTTTTATATACTGAAGAAGAGTGATTTATACTTGCCAAGATTTGTAATAAGCAGGTGAGAGAATGATATTATTAATATTATATAAAAGGAGGAATTGATCTAAACTGTGGAATAGGTTTAGCAAAAATGAAAACTTTGCTTTAAAACTCAGAATTTACAAATTCCATTCCAATGAGATCTGTATGAAGAGCATAGATGAAAGAGAGAGATCAGAAATCCAGTTATATGAGAGAAGAAGGTGTGAAGTAAAACTGAGTGATATGTGCAAATTTTATTATTATTATTTTTTTCATGTCATTGTTGTTATATATTTGTTATAATTTCATTTTAGTCCCATTATGCTGTGTATTTGACTTGTAGAAGTTACTAGACTGGACTGCCGCACATACTTTTTTTCTGTAATCTGTAAATCTTCTTGCTAACTTTCATTTCTCAAACTATCAGGCAGGTTAAGGTTTAGCTAATATCTACAGTAGATGAATGACAACACATTGTTGTAATCAATTGATGGCTGTGTTATGTAAAAAGATTTGAATGGCAATAAATGAATTCTGGTGGCAATTCGTCGCATATTTTCCTTTAGTAAGGATATTCTGTGTTTTATCTTTAAAACACTTCAACATAATGTATATGACCTTTTTGAAGCAGCTTCATAAGGAACTTGGTTCAATTGCACGAAGTATGAATATTGTATGCAGTTTACATATTTACAAATTTCGCTCAAAAAATTACTTTGAACATGTAAATATATCATTATTGTGACCTTGTTCACGTGGACGAGGCCTTCACAAGTGCGTGAACATCACTTGGCCTGAATTGTGATAGTAAACATTATCAAATTGCAGTAACCTGTAAATAACAGGCTGTTGGACAAAACGGGGTCAACTTTACTCCAGTGTAACGGACTGTGTCTCATATATCAGTATATAGTAAATCGTCCTAGATAACGATATTACTGACCGATTGTAAATGGGATTTGCTTACTCGCAAAAACCCAGTATGCTTTGAACATCTTTATGTAAAGCATTATCTTCATGTAGAAAGTGGAACAGATAATTTACCCCCACAATGTTTAACACCAAAAGTGGCTCCCAATTGTAATCTATTGATATTTCACCCTGCTTGTGGAGTAAAATAACGTCCATCGGAGATCCTACGTGTGGTTCAAATCAAATTCATGTATCGGTTTTAAATTTTTCGCATTTGTAGAAGACCGGAAAATACATGTCTATTAATTTATTTTTTTTTTTATTTGGGAAATAAATTTTGACAAAGAATTCAAACAAGGAAAACATCAAAGATTACAGTTTTATGTAATGTAATTCACTGTGCTTTTTGTGACTAAGATATTACTCATTTCATTAACACTATTCTGGTAATTGCTTATTATTACTATTATTATTTTCTAAAATACATATTTTACTTCTGACTGTAATAGGACTTGATGAAATATACTGCCTAACATTATAATGCCCAACGAAGATACAATTTTCTATCATACATACGGTTTGTAAAACGAGTTTTCCGAGGGTTTTGCGATACTTTTATGTTTCAGAATAGCTTATAATGATACAATTTTTGCAGGTAATATACCTTTATTCTTTGAAATAAAATACTCCTTTTGTATATCAAGCGCATTTTGCTAACTTTGGACGATTTTTTTAATACACATTTCCATTTTCTCATGCGTGAACATGTTAACGTATTAAATATTTTTTGCTTTGAATGTTATATAAAGGAAGGAATTTCAAAATACCACAAAATGCCGTAGTCATCGCTCCAAGTACTGCGTCGTCCTAAAGAAATTTACTAAAGCTTTTGACCAAAAAGTCATGACTTCTGATATTTTGTGTGTTGGCTTATCCTTTTTGTAATTAACCAAACTGTCACAATTTTTGTCATAATGCATAAATACAACTTTATAAAATGAATTCGAAGGATCTGATTGACTTGCGTTTATTAAATACTCTGGACACAAGTACGGTGAAAATGTAAAAGACTCGAGGCCATGCACGAGTGGGATCATCATGCGATGGACTAGCGTTTATTTAAATTTACTCTACAAGCACGATGGAATATCAAAAGGTGAAAATAGGTCATTGGTCCTTTTTACAAAATCTTAATTTAACGGATAACAATGAGATAGCCAACAGGTAGATTTACACACAACCTTTGATCCAATGTCTTGTAAGTTTTTCCACGCGTGTTGGTCATGAGTGTAGGAACCTTTTTTATTTTGCTTGTTTCCGTGACTGACGATAACTTAAACCTTTTCCAAATATATGCAATCTACTGTTTGCATTTACTTTTCTGAACATTTTAAAAAGGTTATGTTTCAGAATGTTGTATAACTCGTCTAGGCATACATCAAATAATTTATCTTTACCGAATTACTGATAGAGGAAATTTAAAGCTTGGAGAATAAAATGACTTGGAAGGCAAAGAGTTCAGGACAAGCACTCTAATACATGTAACTTGCTTTAAGGACCAAGGATACCCCCCCCCCCCATATGAATGCTTGGATTGATATATAAATTTTTTAAGACTTATTTTGATTGTAAATGTTGCAAATATAAAATTTCTAAATATTAAGAAATTATAAACTTTCTATCATGTTCTCAAAATTCTACTTTTCTGCAATCATTCTTATATTTTTTTTTATCGCTTTCCAGGACATTATTGTGAAACTTACATGTAGAATGAAAAATTAAAATTTTATGAGGTTAAAACTTAATTATTAATTTTACTAAAATGGCTTTAGTTGTTATTTTTAGGGGTGACTTTCGTATTAAAAAAGGCAAATGGTAATGAGGTTTACAGGATCTGTAAGGTTCCTTTTTTTCTGTGAATAGTTCCCCTGTGGATACCGGTCTCAACAATGAATTTAGTGAATAAATTTCTTTCACAAACAAGATGTGTTTATGAAACACTGATGCCCCCGTATGGCAGCTCATGGCGGAGGTTAAAGTTTGTCAAATGCAAGTCAAAATCCAGGTCAAAAGATCAAAAATATTGGTACCCAAAGAAAGGACTTGTCTCGAGGAATATACCTGTGAAATATGAAAGCTCTAGCACCAACCTTGAAGAGTTATGGCAAAGGTTAAAGTTTTTTAAAAGTAATTAAAACGGCAAGGTCAAGGTCAAATGGTGCCCAAGGGAAGGTCTTGTCACAAGTGATACACATGATCGTGAAATGTGAAAGCCCTAGAAACACACGTTTAAATGTTATGGCCAAGGTTAAAATTTTTAAAAGAAGGTCATACTCCAAGGTCAAGGTCAACACCAAAATTTTTGGTATCCAAAGGAAGGCCTTGTCACAAGGAAGATACATGTAAAGTATGAAAGCCCTATAGCTAACATCAACTGTTCAAAAGTTATGGCCAAGGTTACAGTTTTTCAAAAGTAGGTCAAACTCCAAGGTCGAAGGGTCAGGGTTGTTGGTATGTAATTGAAGGTATTGTCACAAAGAATGCATATGTGAAGTATGTAAGCCCTAGCACCAACTGTGTAAAGGTTATGGCCAAAACTCTAAGGTCAACAGGTAAAAGTTGTTGGTATCCACAGGAAGGTCTTGTCACAAGGAATATACATGTGAAATATGAAAGTCCTGGCACAAATTCTTCAAAAGTTATGGCCAAGGTTAAAGTTTTTTCAACAGTACGTCAAACTCCAAGGTCAAAGGGTCAAAGTTGTTGGTATCCAAAGGAAGGCCTTGTTACATGGAATATTCATGTGAAGCTTGAAAGCCTAAGCACCAACTGTTTAAAAGTTATGGCCAAGGTTAAAGTCTCATAAAAGTTTGCAAAGTGGGTCAAACTCCAAGGTCAAGGTCAAAAGGTCAAATGTGATGGTACCCAAAGGAAGGTCTTGTCACAAGAAATTCACATGTGACGTATGAAAGCCATAACTCCAACCAAACAAAAGTTATGCCAAGGTTAAAGTTTTTGCGGACAAACAGACAGACAGACGGACGGACAGGGCAAAAACTATATGCCCCCGAATCTTCGATTACAGGGGCATAAAAATGCTGGTTGGATACTACATGTAGTATTAAAAAGTGTTTCAAGATGACTACAAGCTTATGAGAAGAACAGTAATGAAGATGTGACATGGTATATAAATTACTGTACAATTGTATAAATGATTATGACATAAAAATAATTGTAAACAAGATGTGTTTGTGAAACACTGATTACCCCGTATGGCAACTTATAGCGAAGGTTAAACTTTCTCAAATGCAAATCAAATATGTTGGTACCCAAAGTAAGGTCTTGTACCGAGGAATATACCTGTGAAATATGAAAGCTCTAGCAGCAACCATTGAAAAGGTATGGAAAAGGTTAAAGTTTTCAAAAGTAAGTCAAACATCAAGGTCAAGGTCAAAATGAATGGTGCCCAAGGAAAGGCCTTCTCACAAAAAATACACATGTGAAATATGAAAGCCCTAGCACCAACCGTTTAAAAGATATGACCAAGATTAAAGTTTTTCAAAAGTAGTTCAAACTCCAAAGTCCCGGTCATAGGGTCAAAGCTGTAGGTATCCTAAGTAAGGTCTTGTCACAAGGATTGCATATGTGAAGTATGAAAGCCCTAGAACCAACTATTCAAAAGAAATGGCCAAGATTAAAGTTTTCCAGTAGGTCAAATTCCAAGGTCAATGGGCTGTAATATATATTAATTGTTGGTATCTAAAGGTTAAAGTTTTCCAAAAGTAGGTCAAACTCCAAGGTCAAAGGGTCAAAGTTTTTGGTATCCAAAGGAAGGACTTGTCACAAGGATTACATATGTGAAGAATGAAGGCCCTAGTACCAAACCGTTCAAAAGATATGGCCAATGTTAAAGTTTTTCAAAAGTTAGTCAAACTCGTAGGTCAAGGTCAAAGGGTCAAAGTTGTTGGTATCCGACGGAAGGTCTTCTCACACGGATTACACATGTAAAGTATGAAAGCCCTAGCATCAACCGTTCAAAAGTTACAGCCAACGTTAAAAATTTTCAAAAGTAGGTCAAACTCTAAGGTCAAGGGCTCAAAGTTGTTGGTATCAAAAGGAAGGTCTTATCACAAGGATTACACATGTGGAGTATGAAAACCCTAGCACCAACCGTTCAAAAGTTATGGCCAATGTTTAAGTTTGGAAAAAATTTGTAAAACTGGGTCAAACTCCAAGGTCAAGGTCAAAGATGATGGAACCCAAAGAAAGGTCTTGTCACAAGGAATACACATGTGAAATATGAAAGCCATAGCTCCAACCAATCAAAAGTTATGAGCAATGTTAAAGTTTTTGCGGACAAACAGACGGACGGACAGAGCAAACACTATATACACCCGAATCTTCGATACGGGGGCATAAAAAAGGTCGTGAATTGCGTCGCACAAAAATGGGTCAACTTTGGTCCAATGGGAGCACTGTTTACCTGTTGAATGGTCTCACCCATATGCTTCGTTCATGGGCACTCCATACTGATCAATGAAAATATATCTTCTACATGTATACCATTATGTATGTAGTATAGTACAAGTTGCTGTTTGCTAAGCTCAGAAGCATATGTTGAGCACAATTAAT